GGTCGCGCAAACCTTGACATGTTCACAAAACACTCTGCGCTTCCTTGTTCCTGGATCGCCCCCCACCACACCTGTGGCTCAGGAGTGTGCGTTATTGATAAACATCGCAGCAGTTTCTGGAACACGTGTTAGACCCACGAACACAGCCCGAGAAACACTGAACTAGGGGACAGGAGACATTCTAGCCAATCTAAAGGAGCTGAGCTGGGCCACCCAGCACACCCTTAGTTCATCACAGTCCCGTAGCAACACAGAAACTGACAACTCTAGAAGTCTAAAAACAGCCTTCTGAGAGCATCGTTGTGCCATTCGAGAGGTCCAGGGTGGTGTTTCTCTTCGGGAATCCTGTGTGGCTTCTCCCTTCCAGACACTCTGTGCAGACTCCAGCGGCCTGGGCCCGCCGTGATGCAGGGCGGGATCTGTGCCTGTGCAATGCGCCACCAGGGGGCAGCACAGCACCACGGGGCGACCCAGAACCTGCCCTGACCTGAGCACAGTATCCACTACTGACCTGGGGTGGGGACCCCACAAGCAGGTGCCAGGGCCTCCCTGGCCAGCTGGAGAATGACTGATGGGAAAGCCTCGCCCCCGCTCTGCCTCTCTGTGGCTTCTCTAGCGGTCGCCCACATGCACCAGGCACGTGGACCCTACTCGAGGGTGAATCCCACGGCCCGTGGACGCAGCCTCCTCCAGCAGCCTTACCTCCAGCAGCCTCGCTGAGGAACGAAAACAAGCCGCTGACTCCCAGGACCAAGGAAAAGAAAACTAGGCCCGTGAGAAGCTTCATGGTGCTGAAAAGAGAAGAGAGGGTCAAGCGGTCACCGTCCACACTGGCACGTCCCCCTTTGGGATTTGTATTCCAAAGGCAGCCTGGTTGTTTAAGTCCATGGGTTCTCATTAGAATCTTAGCGGCTCATCTAAGAAGCCTTCCAGGGGGACCCCACGCAGAGCCACAAGCCCTCAGGTGTGAACCCCTCAGCCCTGAGCCCTGAGTAAGAGGATCCCAGGTGGAGCAGGTAGAGGAAGGGGGGTTAGGACAGGATGGCCCATCCCTAAAGGAGCCTGTAGTCCACCAAGGAGAATGACCATGTGTTCCCTCCGCCCAGCACAGAACTCACACGGTATACATGAAAAACATGGTAAGTATTTTTAGAAGGAAATTACAAACTTGTTGAGAAAGAGAAAATAGAGTACGTTTTTTTAAAAAAATCACCCCTTTGGAGTCCTTGCTCACCTGATTTCTGGAGGAGCAGAGCTGCTGGTCCCTGCCTGCCAGGGAGCCGGGGCTGCTATTTATACCGAACCTTCCCTGTGGGGTCATGTGAGGGAAGAAAAGGTCATGGGGACAGTCCATGCAGGTCATTTCCCCCACAAAAGTCTGTCAGGACACTTCCTGGACACCAGTGTTTTCTTCATCCACAGGTCATTTTCCTCAGTTGTGCAATCTGAGGAAATGGGATGGGTTTGCTTTGCCCTGGCAGCCGTGGGGTTGGCAGATGGGTCTGATCCTCAGGCTGCAGGAAAGGGGGTAGGGACCCCACGATGGCGGCACCAGGGCTGCTGGAAGGTGTGGAGTGGATCGCGGCTCTTCCACCCAGCACCTGCTTTACTGGTCATTTCCTCAGGATGGCCCCTGCTGGATGGCTTAGCCAATTACGCAATGTCTTTTGTAAGTTGGCTTCTGGCTTGGGGGCAATGCCAAGCAAGGGGCTTCCTCCCTCTCCCACCCAATCCTGGAGACCCACATTGGGACAGTGAGAGTGCTGTGGGATAAATTGGAAGCCCAGCTGGGGAAGCACCAGGCTGCCATCAGGGGAAGGAGGGCAGAGCTCTTTGTCTGCTGTGGTATCTGGGGAGGGGTCACTGTCTGCCAGAAACATCGGCAGGGTCAGCCCAGCTCTGCAGGGGCTGGTGCGGGAGCACAGGGCCGAGAAAGGCTCAGTACCAGAGCTCAGCAGGGCTGCGGCCAGGAAATGCACACAGCCTGCTGCACATAGCAGCTCCTCTGCTTTCTTCTTCTGCAGTCCATCTTCACACCCTGAGGCCTAGACATTTGCAAAAACCCAACAAAATCTTTTGGAAACGGGTAGGGCCAGGGAGGAGGTAAAGGAGGGCCAAGTATCCTGGAAGCAGCAAATCGGGCTCCAGTGTAGACAGTGGTTTGCAGACTGTGTTCTGGAGCCCACGCTGCAACACCCGCCCCTGCATACTTCCCACCACCTTAAACCCGTTGGAGGTGGTACCAACTAGGACAGTCTACACACATACCCACGTGCTAGGCAGAGTGGTGACATCCCCAGGGAGAAAGAGCTCACAGGGAAAAGTGAAATGATTCCAGCTCGGTGTAAAAAATAGCAACACATCATGATCAACTAAAGTTTATGGCACGGGGTTCAAGAATAGTTTAATATCAGAAACATCTATCTTTGTAATTCTTTGTATGGGTAATTAAAGGAAACAGTTACATACCTATTTAAATAGATGCAGAAAATCCATTTCATAATGGATGATGTCTAGTAAGGAAAAAGAAAAACATGTAACAAAATCAGAGTCCCTTTCTGAGTAGATAAAAGCTAAATACCAATAATCTATAGCAACAGTTCTCAAACTGTGTTCCAGAGAACCCTAAGGATTCCCCAGGTCCTTTTAGAGAGGCTTTGAGGTCAACAGTATTTTTTACTAAGACAGAAATTCCATTTTTGTTGTAATTTTTTCATGAGTACAGATGGTATGAAAAGTTCACTGATACGGGTTTTGATGTCCACATTGCAACTGACCTTTAAGAAACTACCACTTGTCAATTTTTGGTGTAGTATTATATAATGGCCATAATTATCTAAATATACTATTAAAATACTTTCCCCTTTTCCAACTATATATCTGTATATGTGGCTGAATTTTCTTCAAATACTTCAACTTAAATAATGTATTGCAAGAGACTGAGGTGTGAGAATCCAGCTATCTTCTAGTAATTCAGACATGAAAAAATTTTCAGAAATGCTAAACCATACTGTTCTCACCAACTTTTTGTTTTGAAAATAGTGGTTTTTCATAAAAATATACTATTTATGTTAACGTGTAATGGATTATTCTTTAAAAATAACTGATAAATGCTGTAATTTTTTTTTCTTTCTGAATTGGTAAATATTGATATACAGAGTCTTCATCAATAACAGTTGTTTGGGGGTTTCGATAATTTTTGAGTATGATGGGATCCTGAGACTAAAAAGTTCGAGAACCCTTCCTCTATAGCAAACATCATGTGGAATGAAGAAATTTCAGGTGCATGCTCAAGAAAGCCAAGAAAGAGACCAGGGTTTCCTGCTCTTACTGTTACTATACCACACACTCCCGAGGGACGTGGTTAATGCTGACTGCAAGAAACACAGGAGGGTAAGAAGTAGAAGAAAAGAAATGAAACTGGTAGTTTCAAGATGACACAACCTTTTACATAGAAAACGCATCAGAATCAAATGGCAAAGTATTATTTAATAGAACTATTAAGAGAATTCAGCGTGACTACCATATTCTAGGTAAAATTTTAAAAATTGATACCATTTCTTTGCAATAATTCTTACCAGTTATTAAAGACAGCATAAAATAGTACCAAATATATTAACTATCTAGGAAATAACTTTCAATAATACACAAACTTTTACAGAGAAAATTTTTAATTCTGTTAAGGAATAAAAAAATCGCGATATACGTCCTACTCGTGGAGATTACGTTTTAGCTTAGTGAAGACAGAAATTCTTCCCAAATCAACTTACAGATTCAATACAATGTGAATAAAAAATTCCTCCGGCAATTTTTATCAGGAATACAGCATTCTTTGTGGAAGAATAAAGTTAACTATGAATAGTTAAGTCAATTTTAAAAAACGAGAGTAAAGAGGGGACATGTACTGGTCTCTGAGACGTGTGAGCAGGGGATCTGCCACAGGAGGGAGACTGCTGCGACTCCTGCCTCAGTCTATGGGGAAGAAGAACTGAGAGGCGTTTGCAGCAGTAGTTATGTCCAAAATAGGTACCAGAGAAGTAGGGCTACACAGCTTTGAAGGTTCTCCTTACTCCAGGCCTAAATGAAACAACTGCATGTAAAATTCTAAGCATAACATTTGGCATTGGGGACCCACATACAAGTGTGCGTACCCCATCCACCTTCCCATATGGAGTGTTAAAGTGGCGTTGGACTGCACCTGGGGAAGGAATGACGGTTCATGAGACATGAAAGAGATCATGAAGCACTGACGAACATCAGATCTCACCCTACCTGTGCCAGCACTAGCAGTGTAGCATGTGCTCTGTGGCACCAGGGTGACAGGACTGTTGCATGAGGTGTGAGGCAGGCATCAGGGAAGGAGGAAATCAAACAGTGGATGGAACACATGGAGGAAAATCATATGACTTGTCCCAGCATGGATGTAGGCAGGTTATGGAGGACTTAGTGAGTACTGCTCCCCAGGTGGTATTAATAATTGTGGAGTAGTAGGTTGGGGGCAAAAACGTATAAAAGCCAAGAAAGGAGGAGGCACTTGCACATGAATGACCAGGAGCTCTAGAACATAGTGGAATCTGTTGTGGAGTAAAGCACTAGGTTCTTGACCACTCTGCAGAGAGAGGAATAGACTAGTAGGTGTGAACTGAGACTGTAGATGCTTTAGGTAGGAGAGGAGAGGTTGCAGGGATATAGAAGAGAAGGAAGCCAGACAAGGATGAAATATCCACTGGCAAGAGTTTCAGACAGTCTGGCTCATCTAAGTAGGATGCTTGAGTCTTTCCAAGAGTGCTGCACAAGTTTGTTTGTTTGTTTGTTTGTTTGTTTTTATAGACAGAGTCTCACTCTGTCTCCCAAGCTGGAATGCAGTGATGTAATTATAGCTCACTGCAGCCTTGAACTCCTGGGTCAGGTGATTCCCTTGCCTCAGCCTCCTGAGTAGCTGGGACTATGAGTGCACACCACCATGCCTAGATAATTTTTTAAATCTTTTCTAGAGATGGGGTCTCGCTATATTGTCCAGGCTGGTCTTGAACTCCAGGCCTCAAGTGACATGCCCACCTGGGCCTAACAAACTGCTGAGATTACAGGCATGAGCCACCATGCCTGGCCTGGCCTACCAGTTGTATTAATCATGTCTCTTCATTCTGTGTTTTGATGCTTGACATCTTGGGGCTTTGCTGACCCTGGAGGGACTGTTGGTCCCAGAGCTAGCCAATACCTAGAGATAGGAAATGACTCACCTGGGAGCATGCATTTCATGTACAAGCCACCACTCCAGAGCCCACATCCCCATCCACCCCCTTTATTAGGCTCTTGTACTCTGGGACACTATCCACCTGCCTGATCACCCCAGAGCCAGGTCCCAGAAGAGTAGCGACAGCCCCTATGCCCAAGAGCATGCTGATATTTTTCAAACTGGCCAATCCTAAGCCTGTTTAAGCTTCCACAACATTCCTTCCTGCAGAAACACAACTGGGACTCTTGTGCATGTTTCCCCCATTGCCCCACCTCCTGACTTACCACCTGCTTCCCTGTGCGGTTCCCTTGGCACACTGTGTGCCCCCTTCTCTCAGGAACTGTCATAACAGACTATCTTTGCAATGACAGTCATCTCTCGATCTGTTGGCCTTGCCACGCCTGAATAACAATAAAACCTACATTTTAAAATAGAAATCTTCTCATTCAAAGTATTTCCAGCAGAAGAGACAGCCAAACTGTTGAACGTTCTCCCAAAAGAAAAAACAAACACAAACTCCCAGAAACATCCTCAGGGGGAGGGAAGAATCTTGAGTGAGCAAAGCAGGAGTACTAGTGGGGACAGGTGACCTGCTGGCCCTGAGGTGTGAAGGGAGGTCAGGACTTGGAGCTTGTAAGTCTCCCACTGGAGACGGGAGGGGGTGGAGCGAATGTCTGCACACACACGTGGCATTTCCTCCCCTGACAGCTGCCACCTATCTGAGGAACCCACACCAGAGGTTAGAAAACGGCTGTCCTGGTGCAAGTTAGGAATAGATTCGGGGCATGTTGTAGCCACAGGAAGCCGCAGGCTCAATTCTTCCTTGACTCTGAAACCTTTTCACTGGTCCTAACGCCCAGTAATTCCAGGCCAAGTGTGCCAGGCCTGCAGGTGAACCCATCTTTAGCCAAGAAGCAAAGGTTTGCCAGTCAGGGGCTCAAGTCATCATTATCCTCAATCTTCCTATGCGTGGAGCCTACCCCAGCTCCCTGTGTAACATCTGCTGGGGTTGCATCTCCTTGCTGTGAGTTCCCCACACCTGGGAATGGATGGGGTGAGCCTGGGCTCCTGAATAAGGTTGGGGTCCCCAGAGAGGTGGGGGGCCCTGCCTCTGGGGCGTGTGCCCACCCGGCAGGTCTGATCAGAGAACATACACTGAGAGGTTATGGAAAAGATGATGTGTCAAGAGAGATGTGGGTCTCCCTGTAGGCAGAGAATATCTTTAAATAAAGGAAATTGGAAGGCAAATCACTTGGATCCAAAAGCACTTTTTGTTTATTGAACCACTGTGTTGTAAACCATGTGTCTCTGAAGGTAAGAGAGCCTGGGGAGTTGCAGGATGTTTAGGACATGGAGAGCCAAACAAGGACTCCTCCTCTTGCTAACTAATCAGATTGGGATAGACTCTCCAGTAATCTACAAATGCAACTTTGCTCAATCATAAGCGGTAAATTTCCCATGTTGGATTTTCC